GGCTCAAAAATGAGCCGAAACATGTAAGCGCTTTAGTAAAATAAAGAAGTTTCACGCTACGATAGTCATGTTATTTGCGCAACATCTCCCGCGCTTGACTCCTACTGCCCTTGTTCTTTCATTGTTTTTTGACTTATAAGGAGTCTTAGTTAGGTTGATTTATTATACGTTATTCTTAAAGATAATCATATTGAAATAACAGAGTCAACAAACTTATGTTATTTCTATTTTAAATTATAAGTAAGGTAAGCGTTTGCAGCAAAGTGTATGAAATTCTATTTCTACTTGACGAAAGTTTATACAGTATAAATATATAAACTTGTGATCACACCGATTACTTTGCTACGCTGTTTCATTTTTCATTTCTTTCTACTAACATTCTCGCATTTTCCTTTCTACGTATATTTATCTTAATTCTTCTTTTAATAGTATGCGTCAAAGGAGACAGTATAAAGGTGTTTATTTGAACTATACTACGATCGTAACAATCTACAGAATGCGTGTTGAAAGATGAAGCTGTCACGATAAAGTTATTAATTACTCTGTAAAATTATTTCTCAAATTCTAACATTTAGCAATAAATAAAATGAAAAAATTGGCTTGATTTTAGGAAAGTATGGATAAAGTTGTATAAGATTAATATACACTGAAAAAAATGCATGTAATTTTACATGGAAATTACATATTTATGACTGGAAAATTATCTAAATTACTTAAATATGATTGGAAATTTACTGGAAATTGTAAATGACATTGTAATAAACATGTAATTTCCATGTAAAATTACATGCATTTTTTTCAGTGTACGGTCACCTGTAAAACTTTCTATCACAGAAAAATTCGCTAATTGTGAGTAAAGTTGTTGGAATTCTTGCGTCGTAATACGTAATTGCATAGTTGTGCTAACGAAATTCTGAACCGTAAAGGTTCTTTGTTTCTTTGGTTTCGACAAAATGTTAGAGGTTACTTACTATAAATGTGGAAACATTTCTAGCTTTCTAGATAAGTTCGTATTTTTATTCAACCAATATCTTGGGTCGGAACAAGAATTCGTAGCAAACTTCAAAATTCAAGCAGCTGTAAATTCCTTAAAAATGAACGAAGTTCAAATTTAAAAAAAGGGGAGTTAAAGCTTAAAATCTCTATGTTTGCAAGGTCACTGTGTCTTTTGAATTTCTGTGAGTTTGATCATTTTTACATACAGAAAATTATCAGCTGGATAAAATGGGAAATTTTCTTCTCACTTTGGACCTGTCATGTGTCCAAAAAATCTTGCGAAAATTTTCATTTTTTTTTTAACAAAAGCTTAGTTTTCTTTATAAAATTATTTTTTTTTATATTTCTGAGATTTTTGTTACCGAATTATCTGGATTAAAATAAAAGGAGGAATTTTGACTTTGATTGCTCATAACTCCGTTAAAAATCATCGTATCGTAATTTTTAAAAAACAGATTTTGGAACTTTGCTTTATCGAATGGTGTAATTGTCAAATTTTTTAGAAAATATGTAGACATGATACAAATAAAGTTGCGCTACGAATTTTTGTTCCGAGCTAATATTTGGATTAAAAAGGATTTATATTAGGATATAAACTTTTTTTTTCTAACATTCTTTTTATTCCTCTCGAAAAATTGAACGATAAATGGTTCGTGAATTTGAGCAACATTGACATTCCCACTAATGTAAAAAATTTATTACAACTAGGAGAAGGTTTCGGCTTACCTGTTAACAAATATAATTTAGACAAAACTACAGTAGAGTTTATTAAGCATATTGAAAGTAAAATAAATGGTCGACCTAAGAATATAACTAATTTTGTTAGACACAATTCTACTAATATACTAGAAAAATTTCAGAAAGATTTTCCAATAAATATACCTAACGATAAATTACTCTATGACTGGCAATTGATCACTAAAGTTTTTTTAAAAAACCATCCTAATGTGTTAGTCACAAAAGCTGACAAGGGGAATGTCACTGTTGCTCTAAATAAAGATAATTATGTCGAAAAAATGGAGGAGATTTTATCAGACAAGGACACTTATGAAATTATTAACAAAGATCCAACCAAAAAAGTTACCAGCGAATTACGTTCCTTATTGGTTAGATGGAAAAGCAATAAATTTATTGACGATTCCACATATCGAAGGTTACTCATGACTGATGGTATTATTCCAAGGGCATACGGTTTAACGAAGATCCATAAACAGGGGAACCCGTTAAGAATTATTGTATCATCTACTAACAGTCCATTATATTATTTTTCGTTATATCTGCATAATATCATCAACGATTCTATATTAGAAGCACCTAGTTACATCAGGAATAGTTTTCAACTTGTCGAAAAATTAAAAGATATTTGCATCGAACCTGACTATTTGCTAGTATCATTAGATGTAGTTTCTTTGTTTACGAATGTTCCCATAGAGTTAGTGTCTGATGGTATTGCAAAGAGATGGGAGTATATATCGGGGAAGACTGTCATACCACTAAATGAGTTTTTAATTGCTGTTCGTTTGGTTTTGAACTCCACCTTTTTTATGTTTAATAACAAATATTACAAACAGATTTTTGGTACTCCGATGGGTTCTCCGTTATCTCCAATTGCGGCGGACATAGTCATGCAAGATTTCGAAGTAACAGCAATTGAAAAATTACCTATTAAGCTTTTATTTTATTTTCGATATGTGGATGATATTATTTTAGCGGCTCCATCTGATAGTATTAATGACATCTTAAACATTTTTAATTCTTTACATAGTAGATTACAATTCACTATGGAGGTTGGCATAGATGGTAAACTAAGTTTCTTGGATACTATGTTGATTGTGGAAGATCAAACTCTAGTTTTTGACTTATATCGCAAAGCGACGTTTTCTGGCAGGTTCCTAAATTTTAATTCACACCATCCACTGTGTCATAAAAGGGGGGTTATTTACAGTTTGGTCGATAAAATTGTACGGTTGTGTCATCCACGTTTCCAGCAAAGCAATTTGATTAAGGCAATAAATATTTTTTTAAATAACGGCTATCCACTAGAATTCATTTTTTCGTCTATTCAAAAAAGAATAAAGTTTCACATCAATAAAAATGGAATGGTTGAGAAAAAGATAAGAGAAAAATTTTTTACGATTCCTTATGTGAATTCGGTGTCGGAAAAGTTTGCTCCTTTAGCCAATATGTGTCATTGTAAATTGGCCTTCTCGATACCTAACTCATTAAATAAATTCATTAAAAAGGGTAAAGATCAGTTAGATCCCTTATTTAATCAAAATGTAGTTTACAAGATCTCTTGTGATGATTGTGAAGCCAGTTACGTGGGTCAGACCAAAAGACAATTAAAGACAAGATTGCACGAACATGTCTCCGATATCAATAAGAAGTCAAAATCTCCAACAGTCATCACTTGTCATCGCATTGACCAGAATCATAATTTCGACTGGGATAATGTGGAAATATTAGACAGAGAAGCTTCGTTTAATAAGAGATTGATATCGGAGATGGTTCACATTAAACGACAAACGCATGGTCTAAATAAACAAAATGACACAGAATCCTTGCCAGAATCATACCTAAATATTATCCAATCTCTTTCCCCCTCCTAACAATGTCCTTGTCTCCTTCATTATTATTTTCTTTCCTATTTCCTTGTTTTCTTGTCATAACGTCGCTTGATGTCGATAGAGTTAAAACGTTATATTCAAGCGCATCATGGCTTAGTTATTTTTTATTGTACATAACTTTTATTAAACATAATTTTGTTAACTGAGTGATCCTACCGTTGTCCGCTTTACATCATTGAGACAATATGAGGTATATATGTTATTTAATTTACATTCTCTCTAATCTTATTTATAAAACATGTACATCGTTTATTTAATTCATAACGCAACGTTAATTTATTATTTATTCAGATGGTAGAATTGCGATTTTGATCTCGTCAATATTTTTAAATATGGACTGGTTTTTAAGAATATAACAAAATTCTCACTGGACATTATATTTTGACTGTTTTTCTGATTATGTATGTAAGATGTTTTATTTTTGTACATTGAAAATGACCCGATCGGTGTCGAAACGTTTGATTTTTGTATATATATACGTTTATTAAAGATCTTATATTGTAGTTGGCTCGTTTGCCCTTGTTTTATTTATTGATTCTTTTTATTATTATCACACCCATCTGCGTCTATAGGGGAGACCGGGGCATAAATTAACAATTCTTGAAAAATAGCTGTAGTTTCAAATCCAGATATTATTTAAATATATTACTTTTTGTAAGTGATAGTATGATCATTTAGCTATTACGTAAGCAAGGATTTATTTTTTTAAATTAGTGATAGGTGTTCGACAAGAGACGATTCTGAAAAAACTGTCATATCCCGCATTTGGGGTAAGAATTAACAAGCCAGGGGCAGATATTAACACTACCAGTTATTTTGATTTTTTCTAAATAAAAATGTAATATTTTATTTTATGATTCTTTATTTATTTAAAATTAATTAAATTATGTAATCACATCCAAAATAATTATTTGCTTATTACAAAAAATCATATAACCTCTTTAAAATAAAAAAACATTGCACATCGGTTATTCATTATTTATCAAACATATATAGATAGTAATATATTATTATTTATAAACAGAAAAATCGAACTATTCTTATCTGTTAATATATTAATCAGTCTTTGATTTAATAAACTTATACCTTAATTAATCACAGCTACTCATCATCGTCAGAGTGACAATTAATACAGATAAATGAGATAGCGTTACCTTTCACGCATTTCACGTGAGCCCATTGTTTACATAATGTACATTGCACCCACTCCTCGCCAGGAGCCTCATCTTCATAGGCTTCACCACACATAATGCAAAACCATTCTTGATCATTTTTATTAAAAATTTTCTTCTTTACTTTTTCTATTTTCTCATCTCTCTTTTTTTTGCTTTTTTTTGTTCTTTCCACTGTCCTTTCCTATTTCCTTTCTCTTTTCGTTTGATTGCTTTCTTCTTTTCTTTTTTTTCTTCTTGCAGAGAATTCTTCTCAGGAGTGTCAGTAAGTATAGCTGACTTTCTTGTACGTCTTCGAATAGATGATTTACGTGGTGGAGCCTTTGGCAGAGGTCTAATTTTTTGAGGAGAAAAATCTGTAACGTTTTGGATTCCTGAAGGTCCTGCAACTGAGTCGTCATAAGACGTTTGATTAATAATTTTGATTAAATTGTTGTCCAATACAAGTTCAGATTTCAAAACTTCCGGATTTTCTAAATCACTTGCTGTATCATTTTTTTCATTTTCCACAGATATACCTGATGTTCCTGCTGTTGGTTCATTATTATTTGAGGTCGAATTCGGGCGATCGGTAACAAAAGATGGGGCAAAGTCATGTTCTTGGAATATGTCTTCGTTTAAAGGCCAAATGCCGGATTTTCTGAAGCCGCTCATAATATTCGATGGATTCAAGGCTAAGGGTAACGAGTCCTTCACAATACCGGGTAAATCATATATTGTCATGGTTTTGCCCGGATTATTATACATCCAAGCTGTCTGATATTTGCTCACATAATTTTTAAACAGCCCATATACTCCCACATCTAACGGTTGCAAGCGGTGGGAGCAATGGGGAGGAAACGAAATCATAACTATATTATTACGTGGGAACTGTGATTGTCAAGCATGAGTAGGACAGGTTGTCTAGTTCCGGATCGCGATGCGTGCGCCAATCGCGCCTATCTCGAATGATATTGGCAACCTTCCTTATCGATCTAAGATCGCCAATCGGTCGATCTTATTTCGTGGCGCTGCGACGCCACTTACACTTCCGTTTCCGTTTTCGGTTAGAACAATAATGGCGAATTAACGCCGCGTGCGTCGGAATAAAAGGTCTACATTTTCATAAGTGTGTTACTTCAATCCATCCTACCTAAACACGACTTTCAGAGTCGTAACATTGGTCCTTCGAGCCGGATATTGAAGCTTAACGCATTCTTCTACAAAGGGTCACCGTTGAGACAATACGGACATGTGCAAGCGCTAATCGCAAGGTCAGACAAACAAAACTGCCAGTCGCCACACATTCAGGCCTTTACATCGACCACATCATAATAGCGTGCATTCGCTATCATCCACGCACGTAGGCTCCCATCTCTACGCTGCAACATTACGCGGCATCTCATCGGAAATCGTGAGACGTAGCACAAGCACACGCTGCCTCTCTCTCGCACAAGGGAACAGTCACACGTTTCTCTTTCGCCCAAGCACGAGTCGCCAACGGAGATACCCGAATCTCAGGAAGTACCGCATCTTACCAGCTCATGGTTCATCTCCAGCACTCAGGTCAAGATCATCCTAATATATAGTCCGAGAGCTGTAAGG